CAGAAACCAACTCTCCTTTAAACACAAGTGCCATATGGTATTATTTTATCTCCCACGTCATTGATGGTTATAAGGTGGTTATTTTACCTGACTGCTTAAAAAGCATAAATGCTTGTAAGTAAGCAACCTGATGGCCGACCAGGCGCGGATTCAGGATTTCTTAGGGGGGCCCAAATTTGAAATTATGCGAGCCAAATATTGGTACGTAATGGTGACCAGCAGTGATGTAATTGGGGGGGGGGGGGTGGGTGCAGGGAGGGACGATCTTTCCCCCTCCCTCCTTCGCGAAGCGCGGAAGCTTTGACATTTCAATAAATTATTAGAGATAGGAGACGATTCGTTGTACCGTTCCCAAAAATAATCCTCGTCTGAATTATGTTCCCCCCCCCCCTCACGCGGAAGCTTTTACGTTTCATTAAATTATTAGAGCAAGAAGACGAATCGTTGTAACGTTTTCGACTCTTAATCCTTGTCTGAATTTCAAAATGTTCTTTGTCTACTCCCTTTTCCTTTTCACTCCTCTCTTCTTTTGGCCGGCATTTTTGGGGGGACCACCCCACCGCCCCCCTGGCTACGCGCCTGCGGTCAGATGAACATAATACCTTGTCCGCCCCGGAAGCTCAGGGGTTTGAGGCAATAATTTACGGTCAGATTAGCACTCAGTGGTCCGCCTTAGGGCCCTCGGCGGGGTCCAGGGGCAGAGCCCCCGAAGTTCAGGGGTTTTAGACATTTAATTACGGTCAGATAAGCATTATTTTGATACCTAATTGTGACACTGGCAGGTTACTAATTGGCGTGGGGTTCAGGGGTCGGAGCCCCCGGAAGCCAAGGGTTTTAGGCACTCAATTACGGTCAGATGAATATCAAGGGGCCCGCCTTAGGGCTCTTTGTCGGGTCCAGAGGGCAGAGACCCCGAAAGTTCAGGGGTTTTAGGTGTTTAATTACGGTCAGATGAGCATTTTTTGATACCTTATTATTTTGTGACACTGGCAGGAAACTATTTGGCGTGGGGTCCAGGCGGCAAAGCCCACAGAAATCAGGGGTTTTAGGCATTAAATTACCAACAGATGAGCATCTAAGGGCCCGTCTTAGGGCCCTAGATGGAATCCAGGGGGCAGAGCCCTCGGGGTTTTAGGCATTTAATCATGGTCAGATGAGTATATTTTGATACCTCATTATAATGTGACACTGGCAGTTAACTATTTTTTTTCTTTCTTGCTCTCTTTCTTTCTATTTCTCTTTAATATACTTTTTCCAAAAAGTGGGTGGTGGGGGGGGGGTGGGGGTTCGAGGATCCCGATCCCCGCCGTTCCGCGAGCCCTGACATGTAGGCATCTCAAGAAGCATTTCCTTGCCTGGCTGTAAATTTAGGAATTTGTCATTTTCCAACAAACGCATAAAAAGTATAATATACTTAAAACTATGTCATTTCAGCATTATTTGTAAATCACCGTTATGGAATCAGAAATAAACCACGTTTGAATTTTATTTCCCCAAAGCCCCCCCCCCCCCCCCCCCTATCAGTACGCCAGTGCCCCCCCCCCCCCCCCCGACCTACACCTTGTTGGCGGGAAAATTGCAACTGATATCCCTTACCTTTCTTCATTCTCTTTCTTTTTCTTTCCCTTTCTCTCCTCTTTCCCTTTCCCTTCCCTTCCTTCTTTCTCTTTTATGTTTGCTGGAGGAGGGCAAGGTCATTTTGGCCCCACCCCGCTCCACACATTGTTGGCGGGATTAACCGCAACTGATCTCCCTTTCTTTTCTACTTTTTCTTTCTTCTTCCTCTTTTTTGTTCCCTTTTAGCTCTCCTCTTTTAAGGCAAGGGCCTTTTGTCCCCCCCCCCGATCCACAATCTGTTGGCGGGAAAATTGCAACTGATATCTCCCTTCTTTTGTTTTCTTCTTCCTCTTTTTTCTTCCCTTTATCTCCTCTTCTTCTTTTATCTTTCCCTTCATCCCTCTTTTCCTTTCTTCTTCGTCTTCTTTTTTCCCCTTTTTCTCCTCTTTCCCTTTCCCTTCTTTTCCCTCTCTCTGTCTCCTTTTTTTTTGCGGGGGGGGGGGGGGGCAAGGCCCGCTCGCCCCCCCCCCCCCTGGATCCGCGCCTGGATATAAGTATATAATATACAGCAAGAGAGAGAGAGAGAGAGAGAGAGAGATAGAAAGAGAGAGGGGGAGAACAAGAAGTATTATTTTTGTTTTATATTTTAAGCGAAAAATACAAATAGATTGTCAGGGGAGAGTATAATAATAAGCAGTAAAGACCTACACATCGCTATAAAAACAGAACAATGGCAACATATTACTTTTCATGTATATGTATTGTATGGTTACAAGAATTTCTCACTAATAACACAACTCAAATTATCTTTAAAGCAAAAAACTGCTAGAGGCGAGAGGTGCATGGGACTTGACATTCCACCTTTAAAAAGTTTCTTCAGAAAATCTATGTCTATTGTTTGCCAATTGATCTGACACAAATAGCAATGCCTCAAGTCACTTTTAAAGAGCACTTTCAAGTTCACGATTCACAATTAGGATGAAACTTGATAAATCATGTGGAATCATCGTGTTGATATAGTTGCCATGGTTTCAAAGTTGAATGATGGTTCAGATTAGATGTTATTTCAATATATAGGTTCAGTGCAACTAGTACTATATTCTCTCTTTCACCTTTAACGGAACTTGGTAACATTGTTCAGATTAGAGAAAAATGGTGCTATAAAGTAGTGACTTCAATGGCAGATGTACAAATTAAAGATAATCTGAAAGTTTGAATGAAAACAGACTATTATTAATGATACAAATTGGAAAAACTGATCTAATCGATTCCTTAATTCTCCCAACTATTTTAGGTGAACGAAAATCGTCATAAAGCAATGACTTGGCGCTATATACCATTCCAGATATTCGAGCGTTGACAGATTTTTAAAAGCCTGTGTTATGTCTTATTTTCATGGAAAGACGGTTGGGAAAATTTAAGTGGTCGGGAGAATTTACTGTTAGAGAGTGTTGCACAGTGACGCCATCAAAGAAAACCATAAATATCTTTGTGGTATGAGATTTTTTTTCAGCATTTTTTGCATGTTAGAGGGTTAGTACAGTAGAAGGAATATAATAAGTAACATTACATACACAAAATTAATTACGCAGTTTTTTCATCAACCTTCAACAATGTTCCCGAGTCACTTTAACAATACCACATTACCTCGAATCAAAGACTTACGCGTATACATCTATCAAATTTCCCTGATATTCATTAATTCGTTTTTAGGAAAAGTAGAAAATATTTTACAGTTTACCATTAGCAAATCGAAAATGGCAAGGAATTAGATATTGAATTGAGTATACTGTATTGATATAATATGTATATATTATATGTACACATAATTAATTTCATAATGTTTTTAAATCAGTTTAACCGTCAGATGCCACCTATATTATTAGATTATATGTTTGTTTTAATGATTGATCAATTATTTGCGTTTGGGCATTAAACACAATCCTCTCACTTCATTGTTTTACAGCGCAACGACGCAAATAGACACATCAAGTCCAGTTTAATCGACAAGAGTTTGTTTTAAACAAATTTACATAAATTTGCAAAAAAAATATTGAATATCCAATCTATTGTTGGCATAAATCATATAAGAATAGAGACTTTTCATAAACAAACAAATCATCAAAGCTTCTTTAATAAAACATGCTCAACTTTATTCTTTATTTATTTTTACTTTTGTCACGGCTTATAATTTATACAATCATCTGGTGCGTATAATTGCTGGGAGTTATGGGCGCTGATTAAACTATCAAAGCAATACCAAACTTTATCCAGATCATAACTATCTTAAAGAAAGCAGATGGCTCTCGTTGGGAATAAGCTCTAGGAAAAAGATTCTTCAGGCCCCAAATCATCATATTGGATACAGTCACAAGTCGAGTCGTGTCATCCGATCCCGGAAAGAATTCTGCAATGAAGTCATCCCATCTAAATTATCATTCCAGACCGAATTCGTTTATTCAATGAATTCCTCATCAGCAGTTTGAGCTAGCGCAGTTTGAGCTGACCCAGTTGCCGAAATTGACCCACTCTTCACCAAATTATGATATGATACCAAAAGAAGCAAGGAAAAACACTCTAAGAAAACGTAAAAATATGTTTATATTTGCTATTCAATCCTAAAACAACAGGCACTTTTAAATCAGGCATTTCTGTGACTCAAGTTACATAGAAACCGAAGCTGAAATGTGATTTCAAGTATTGATTGCATATCATTTTGATGAGTTATTGGATCGTCGTCATTGCAAAAAGTTTTTTTTCTTCAACTTTTCGCTGGATCATGACAACATACTCCATTTAAGATGATATGTTCTAATTGTTCTCCAAAAAAACTTGCATAATTATGAAATTATATCATGAAGAGTAGATGCTCATTAAAAAATAAGTCTCGTTTTTCAGGAAGTGGAAAATGAAAACCTTTTTTTCCGTGTTAGAAAATGTTTTTTTTTCATAGATACGTATTTACTTCCTGAAGGGATATTTTCAAAGAAAAAAAGAAGAAGAAAAATATGAGGAAGAAAGTTTTTATATTGAAGTATCGTCATGTATAGCGATGAAACTTAATGGTTGTGCGACCTCAAGAACTTAATGCAATTTGTATTTTTTTAATCGAAGTTTGCTTCCTTTCATTTCATTTGCTCAATATGATGATAATTAGTCTTTTGATGAACAAATTAAAAAAATGTAATGTAATTTAGCATTGTCAGCACCATAGCAAAATGCTTGAGTAATAATCGTTCAAAAGACAAAGCAAACAAAACTTACCTTTTATTTCTAGTTTTAAGCATTTGGTAAAGTTATCTGAAATGTATTTTGTTTGATTTTTACAGTGTTCTTTCTAAATAATGAGTAGCCGTCACATTCTTTGTCTTATGGTCTTTAAAATGAAATAAAAACTTTGGTGGGAAATAGAACAAGAGATACTGAGTAAAAAAATTACTTACTTCTTATTTTACATCCAGCTTGAGCATATGTGAAGCACATGATGAGGAGGAAAAGTGTAATAGTTGATGCGATCATAGCCCTTAACCCATCCACTCCCATGGTGATAACCACCGGGCAGTTGCCCCAAAACTCCGTTTCACCTTAGTCTGGGGCAAAAATCAGGATCTGTCAGGCGACGTCAATAGATAAAGCTGAACAAATGACAAATCCCAACACTTAATAAAACCACGACGAGCTAACAATGTGTGAGGAGAGATATATTTACGCCAGGTATTAGAAAACGCGAGGCTAGGTTCTGAGGATTAATAAAGATCTACGGACCTGCTTAGAGCATATTTTTTATGAGTGTCCTCTTGAGTGTCGCGCTTTCTCTCTTTGCGATGTGAGAAATATGGGCGTTGATGAGGTATTTTCGCGCGGTTTTTGTTGGCGCCCTTTGAAGTGGAAGCTGAATGACGTGCGATGTGGACCAAAAGAAGTTGGTATTGTGTCTGTTTTCCCGCCCGCCGATTTGTCAGTCTTTTTTAGTCTTCCCCTCTCTCTCTCTCTCTACCTCTTGCTCCTTCCTATCTCTCATTTATTACCCATACGGCACACAAACGCTCTCCCTCCCTCTTTCTTTCTCCCACTCTCTCTCGCTCTCTTCCCTGTTTCCCTCCCTTTCCTTTCCTCCTGTCTATTTGTATTCCACACCCCCTTTGTGGTGCGAATGCCGACGGGATATATTGAGTGTTTTTATTGGTTGGATATGATAATGCAGGGTGATGTATACATGCCCTTGTTACACCTCTCTACCAAGCTTTTGGCACGTTATCAATCAATGAAATTAGAGTCAAAGAACGGTTCAACACAGAGTGAGCAAAACAAATATCACACAGGAGGCACGTGTTCGTGACTTCATTTACGCAAATGCTAATCTAAATCTCATTTATGCGTCTAAAAAGAAAGTTGCATTCTGATACAACGATTATGGCCTAGTCTTTTCTAGGTGTGGGTATTGCTAAATCAATGAGATGATATAATTTTAAAATCGAAACTTAACTATCCATGGTTATGAGCTACAGAGCTGGATAAGAAGTAGACGTAATCTGAGCGCTCTAAATGTATACTATACATCTACATAGTTTAATGTTAAGTCTTATAATATAGCGAACTCTGTCTCATGGCGTCCTCCAGAAAACAAATTTTTTTAAAGATTGCCTTTTTATTAGCAAAATAATAATGAATACTCCCTCTATTCGAAACACCGCAATAAATCAGCCATCGCAATAAATATGTTATGTGAGGAGTTCCTTATTCATATCATCACATCATTTAGCTCATACTCCCATTCTCCCTAAATCATATTCTCTCGGAGTGGTCGATAATTAGGTGCTCCGGATGTCATGTTTGTATTTGTAGCAATATCAAGAGCCCCAGCGCCGTCATCTTAATAACTGAGGAAAACCGTAAATCACATAGATATGTATGAATACTGCCAGTCTCATTCCACACGAATGCACCCCCCCCCCCCGCCCCTCTTCGAATTATCACATGCTCTTATTACATCTTTAAATCGCTCCGATTAATTACCATGCTCTTGTCAAAGATGACCATGCCATGGGTATATTGTTTAGGATATTATTGTCCCTAGAGACCAAGTTGTATCTTGTCACCACGTTGTTGTTTTCTACTGAAGATATGAAGTTGGTATAAAAAATAGAATATTGAGGTATCCTTTTTTTTGCAATTGGAAGAAATCACTCTCATACTTTTCAGCATTTACTTGATGGCTTGTAATGCTGGATATACAGCAATGAATCAAAACAAATGGAAGACCAGCAATATGACTCTTTTGATCGTTCGCCTTTCGATAATCGGGGATTAATTTATGCAAAGAAAAAAAAAATCATCTTGTTGCCATAATGTGAAGTTTGTTTTCATGAATACGGTCGCAAAGACTTTTGAAAAATATGCACAAATTACAATGGTGTATTATGTAATCTGAAGACGATGTTTATGTGATATACATTATGGCAGTGACATTGCACTTGAGTTGGTTTTTCGAAAGTCTTTGTGATCGTGGTCTAAGGCAAATAATATACCAGAAGCAGGAATTATTTGAACTAATGTAGTAATACTAACACAATATTCTCTTTAAACGACTCCAAAACGTGAAGATATTAAGGTGTGTAATCCTGTCTATAGTTTTCATAAATATGTGGATTTTCTGATTCCAATTACTTTTTGTTCTTTACGCAAAATGAAATAGACAGCCAGCATGGAAAATAATAGAACCTAACTTTTTTAAAACAGTTTTGAAAACTGTTTGATTTCATTTTACACATGGAAACTGAACACAGATTGTATTTGTTTCTGTCATCTCTATGCATCCAAAAGGGAGGCGCGATTGCCAACCGTTTAGAGTAGTAGTCACGATGCATTAGTGCCCTTTAGTAAAGCATTAATCATCATTACCTAGTCACTCGAAGAGGACTTAAAGCCGTCGGTCCCCTGGTTGCCTACTTTTAAGAATATACATGCTTTCTTAGCAGTCAGGTAAAACAAACAAACAGTCTTATGGGAACGAAACTAGAACGTGAGACAAATGACAAATTAAATAGACTGATTGATGTCATATTAACGGGTGGATTGTTACGAGTTGAGTCGTGTAGAATACACCATTCTGCGAGCTAAAGCTGTAACCTTTACTCATTAAATTTGCACAATATCACAGGCCGGATCACACAGAAGGTTACAAAAACATGCCTTCAGTATTGACCTATTGAGCCAGTCAAAACGTGGTTAAGATGCATTTTGTTAATACTGGTGAGAGCTCATTTCTTTTCATCAGAATCAATAATTTTGAAGACTAGAACACACTAACGTATTTGTAGGGGCAAGGGGGAAGTTGGCCCCCTTACGGATTTTAAATCGTGATGAAAACATCAAGACCAACTCTTATATAGTGAGGTACTGAGGTGAGAAATACTGCAAGGTAAATAATAATGGCATCTTTTATAAAACCTCATATCTTTTTTTAATATTATAATTTCAGGAATAAGTTATGAAATCAAACTTTAAAGATAAAGGGAATGGAAAACTCGGTTCACGCATACTCTAAAAGGCAAAGCACAATTAACGAGAAAAATTTGTTATTATTTCTTTCTAAATTTAATTGAAATCCTCAAAATAGATAAATTATGTAGGTATTTGGAATCGTGTTTTTCAACAACGACAAAATTCAAAGGAAAATATGACCGAAGTTTACAAATTAATGGCTACCTTGGTTATAAGACCAAACGTTTATCAATTACAACACTGCCATCACTTACTTCTCTTGGCATTGTAAATCCTCTTGACACTGCTATAGAAAGCTCACGGTCTCATTCTTCACTTTTAGTGACACAATTTTGTCCCTTCAACTTTGAATTAAACGTGCAGCTGCGTTTCGTTACGTCTGCAATCATCTTTTTGTATATTAAGACCCACTTACTATTAAACGTCCATTGCATTGTAGAGGCATTTACAAAGAAAACCGTCAACCGGATACAAAGATGAAAACAATCTTTCATAGAGTCGTCTAACAGGAGCCACAAATGTTCGTATCATCTTTTATTCCAAGGCTTATTAAACCTCTTCAAGCAAATTATTTAAGTTGAATGACAGCTCTGAAAATTCATCTTCATTTATCGTCTTTTACAAGGATGATAACTATAAATTATCATTAAAATAATTTCAATATGCATGTAAAATCATGCGGTAGTAACGAATATCGTGTTTTTTAAAGTTTTTTTTAAAGGGTTGAGGGACGAATTTCAATAAAGATATCGAAATTCCAATTCTAATTTCAAACTTAGTTTCAAGTTCAATTGAATTCGTTAATTGTCCACAAGTAAAAGACATATCAACCGTATAAAATGAACATTTTAAACAGAAGATAAAAGGAAACTTTTCAAAACGTACAAGGTTTGTAAAATGGAAGTCATCTGAACATATCACATTAATAATAATTCAATAAAACTCAGAAACAGTTGTCAAATAGAATATGATATCCAGAACAATAAGAAATGTTGACCAATCATGTTCTTTGCTGAAATGCTGGAAAATGTTCTTCGCGTTATCCTTTTATCTTGCGACTCTCATCTATGTGGAATTCACAACACGCTTAAAACAATGTTTCTCGGGTGTTGTTATATACAGCTCTTTTGGTGGAAAAAACGTCAAAAATGTAGTTTCATCTATATAGAGGGAGAGAATTAATGAATACATTGGAGTATTTTTTTTTTTTTTTTTTTTTTTTTTTGGGGGGGGGGGGGGGGGTCTCAACATGCTTGCTGATTCATTTATTTCATTACAAAACACACTTTTACTATCAAAGCATATATACATGTATATTAATAAAAGTATCCCCAACTTGTGTAGATTCTATTAATAAAGTTATAACTTATGGGACTTATGGGAATAATTAATAGTTCATGGTGAAGAGTAACTTTTACAATGCCCAATGATACCATATTCATATATCTGTTGTGATGGATGACTAAGCAGCAGGCTTTTCAGAAAGTGATGTCCAAATCCTCGTGTACTAAGTTTGAGCTGAAGCAATGAATGTTGGTCAAAAACCATTTATGCGTGTGTTACTCAGTCCGAAAACAATTACTGGCTTATTGGCATCGTGTTTAGGCATAGAAAAGGTGTAAATGTCCACTCAAAATCGAAGAGAGGTTTGTCACATACAGAATGATGTATGGTTTCCACTGCGTTTCGATGACATAATCTTGGCTTCTCTTGCATCCCTTGTTTAAGGTAATACAATTTGGATAAACATTATTCGGGACACTATCTTTTTAAAATGAAAGTCTACCGTTGTCCATTTGTTGTATTATCAAAATATGTGTTCTTCCTTGCCTTTGGGTTTCGTTACTTTTGATTTGTCATACGCTCTAAATTCCTTATACACCTTAAGCGATACGAGATAATTCAAACAAGGTCCAGCGAAAGCTTAGATACCTCGAATCATTTTAATGAATAAAGCAATAAATAACAAGGAAGGATTTAACTTTTGGAAGAATTTAAGATCAAAGAAGCATATGCATGTGTCTTGACCCACATTTGTTTTATCAGCCCAGACTTGGTACAAGGCGATTTTTGCAGCAATTCTTAAAAACCCTGGTGCTTAGTCATCCATGACGGGAAAATGTGATTAGGGTTTCATTAGACAAAAAACAAGTTACTTTTAACATGAAATAGGTTTAAAAAGCTACCAAACCTGGGCATACTTTTTGATGCGCACTGTATACTATAGGCCTATTTGATATCTGACAACGGGCAATACTCATTTATAATATTTGGTTTTATTTACCTACTCGATGTTAAGACTGCTCTTCGTGTGGGCATTGCAAATTCTGTTACCCAACATTGACAGGTGCCATTTGATACACCTGGATTGAGGGAAGAATATGGACAAAAC